ACTCGGATAATTTTTAGCTCTACTTTTTAACATTCATTTTAAAAAAATATGAATATAATTTTAATTAAAACAGCAACATTTTTATTACCTTTTACAATTACTCTTATTAAACTAATTTGTTTTAAAATGAAAAAGTATAAAAAATAATGTCTAAAACTATAAGTCGTATTAAATTAAAAACTAAAGACATATTTTAATTTTCAAAATTTTGAAACTTTAAATAACTAAAAACTACCCAAGACATGCAGAAAATATGAGGAAATTGCATGGAACCTTATACGTTCAATGAAAAAAAGTTGTTTTTAATTATAAAAATATCACAATATATTTTTCTCTATGAGATATTTTATGGTCAGACACTAAATCACTATAACGTAAATTACTTTTTTTTCACAAGTGATATTACCTTTTGTTTCCTAATTTCAAAGAGTGTTTTTGTCCAATTGCTTCCTACCTTAATAATTCAACTCAATTTTCTATTCTAACTCTCAATCTCGATTATCATAATCTCTATCACCAAATAGTGCTGTCAAACTATTTTTATCACTCATTATTGATAACGTCAAAAGAGGAAGAATAATATATTATTTAAAGTTGTGTAAATACTATGATATAACATAAACATTATTCTTTGATCTTGATATATATAAGATAAACATTTTGTTTTGAAATCATTCTTTCCTCTCATATCTTAAGTCTATTTAAATTGTTTTTATCTTTATCATTTCGATTGTTGGTTTCGCCTAATTATTTTTCATCATAATTAAAAAAATTGGTGTTCTTTTCTTTAATATCAGTTTACTTATGTTGTTCAGTTTTGGATATATATTTTTGGTAAATAATTACTCATTGACTTAAAATAATTATGAGTATAACATTTTTGTTAATCATAATTAATAGTGATAGTATAGATGAGAAAAAAAAAATGGTTCCAGTCAGAAAGTGTCATTGATGATACTTTGTGTCTTATGAAAAACATTATGTAAATATTTATAATTTGATGATAATTTTCTTCTTGTAATTTCAAATTTATTTTATTTATTGTAAAAGTTAGCATGAACTTATTTTATATAACTTTTTTTTGTTTAGTTTAATTAAATACGATCTATTTTATTTCTAACACGGCATTAAATTTTTTTAATCAAATCATGTGATTAAGTTATGATTTTATGAAGGTATTATTATTCAATGGTTTGGGAATTGATGTGATGGTTTACACAACCTTAACCGATCAAATAAAAACAAAAGTATTCGGGGACAACACGAAAAATGATTGTGAAAGTGTGAACAACAAAATGATGAATAAACTTAAATAAAACCCCAAGTTGTACTATGGTGACTGTGATGCACTTTTAAAAAACTAAAAACGAAGAACAACACATGGTCTACAGAAACAACAGATATGAATCTTCAACCTCAAACAAACTCAGTTTTTTTTATGCCATTTTCATGTGAGGAGAGAGAGAGAGAGAACGTCATTGTATTACGTCAAAACCTTGGATTCTGCATGGTCATCGCGACCATATTATAAACGCGTCTTTGATGTGAACACAAATTTGGTTGATCTTCATACAAAATTAAGCAATGCCATTATAGTCATGATAGTGAATTTCGGACTCTAGATTGCAAGTCGGTGGGATACGATCCCAAAAAGAGGTTCAAGCATTAGTATACGACGTAAATTATGCATTTATATTTACTTTTAAGAAAAAAAGTATTTAAACACAAATGTTTTTATAACATTATGAAGAAGTATATTAGTTATTTTTTTACTGATCCATTATGTATTTGTTGTTATATTCACGTATTCTAAATTTAATAAAAGAATATACATATAATATATTAACATATTATAAACAAATTTGTATTAATATATTACTCTTATTTTCGTGGTAATGGATCCATTATCTATAGATATAAACAACTCTTTAGTTTTTTATTCGATTAGTTCAATAAGAAGAACTATAAGAAGAGAAAAAGATAATTCTTTTTTAAAGAATATAAAGAAAAAAGAGAATTAGAATGACAAAACCACAAACAATATTAAATAAGTGTTTTGGTCAATAAAACTACTTTCTTATTAGCTAGCATAATTTTCATCAATTAACTTCAAATAATTTAGATTATTGTAAAAGTCTCAATGACTTTATACTCAAAGATTATATGGAGTTGGAAGTAGTCATAACTTTCTAAATTCTGTAATAAGATCTATTGTTTTTAAAGTTTTTTATAAAATAAAATTAAGGATCAATATCATTAATAAAATTCACTTATTTTACTTTGTGACAGGTAAAGAATAAATTTGAATAGTTAAATAAAAATTAAACGTTAATATTTTATTTAATTTTCCTAGTATCATTATATTATTTACTCGTATTAATGTGGCAAATAAATTTATATATTAAACAAATAGGATTTTCTACTTCTTTAATGATTCAATTATTTTTGAAATTATTGTTACTCTAAAATTATTATAAAGAACGGTGCATCATATTGTCAACCAACTAATAACTCCTAAGCCCAAAAAAATAAAAAAAAAAAATTTTTTCTTGTTTGGTTTAGCTGTTCAATTGAGAAAACTCCCTAAAAACCAATAAGCGTGAGTAAAACTAACACTAAAAATGTACTTACTATTACTAATACGCATTATTAAGTTTTATAAATATCAACATATACAGAAACATAAATTCACTCACTATTCAAACCGTTAACTACAATGACTCGCTAGTCTTACGAATCATAAGGAGGGAGGGAAGTAAGTAGTTACGAAAAAAAAAATCAGTAAATAATAAAACAATTATATTTTAGTTCCCACATGCATCTACTTTTATAATTCCCGTCTATCCAATTATTAATTTGTAAAATTTTCCCTATTTTTAAGTTAAATAAATCATTGATTTGAGTTCTGCCTTTTTTCCCCCACATTCAATTAATTAATTGGATCAAGTTGATGATCATGTTTTATTTTCTTTTATACAGCGTAACGATAATGGTAATCATCCTGTTGTCATGCATTTATATTAATACCCTCACAATTACATTGACCATAGTATATTATCAAGTTATGTAGGTCTATATTTAACTTAATTTATTTTAGATTTAATATCTATTTTGATTCCTCTATTTATTAGATATATTCAAATTGGTCTTTCTTTACTCAAAAATTCATAATCGTCCTATGTTTTGTAAAATATAGTTTAAGTTGATTCTTTTTGCCTACGACATTAAAAACTAACGGCAGAATTGCTCTCCTGGCAACTATTGAATGAGTTGTCCAATTTATCATTACGTGACACTCTGAAATGAATTGAGGTGTCGATTATAAAAATAAAACTTAATGACGTGGATTACCATAAGTGAAGGGCTGAAGGACAGGGTTATCACGGCGGGAAAGAAGCCGGTGGAGTGGAGCACGCCGATCCTAAATGCTCGAACGCGCTGATCTCTTCCACCCTTTGAAAGCTTCCCTAGGCTCCCCCTTCAGCTCCGACCCTCTCTCTCCCAACCCCAACCCTCTCATCATCGCCATCAACGGCTCTAGTGGCGTTGACAAAGACACCCTTATCGCGCGCCTCCGTGAGGCCTGTCGCGGCCTCCACTTGGTCGTCACCGTCGCATCGCGCCCTCGCCGCCCCACCAAAGCCGACGATAAGGACTACCTCTTCGTCTTGAAAGAGGAGTTTCTCGGGATGGTGGAGCGGGAGGAGTTTCTCCAGTACGCCCTGGTTCTTAGGGTCGATATTTAGGGCACCGCCATGTGAAAGAGGAGATGAAACTTTTGAAGAATTTTGATTATGGTGTGGTGAATGCAAAGGGGAAGTTGGAGAATGCAGTGAAGTTGATAAGTCTATTATTATACCGAGAAAGCTAGGGTTTCGCACTTAGATTGAGGGCTGAGGGTAAATGAACTAGGAATAATCTCTCTGAAACGTTTTCTTTTATTGATTTCATAAATTGTTCATTGTGGAAGATTGGTCATTGGTGTTTTTGAGGGAACGACTCTTCCCTTTCTACAACCTCAATCCTAAATTTCTCATTCTTTCAGAAACTGGTTTGGACTTAAACTAAAAGATCCATTAACATGTCAACATCGATTCCATTATACAATTTGTGCTTAGAACTGAATAATAATACAGTATAATCCCAAGTGCAAAACTTCACTGTCTACAATTTTTCTCATCAAAATTTCATTGCCTTCTTTGCTGGAATTCGATTTGTACCTTCGATGAGCCACAAATCATGAATTGATTTTACAGTATGGTTCGATATTCAATATGATTGTTTAATAGTAATGAGAGTTACAGTGATGGCAAAAGAAGGAGAAGTGTGATGGAGCTTCCAGTTTTGAGTGGGAAGAGGACTGCCACGTGGTAGTCCCTCATTGGCTGAGCTTGCCACACAATGACTAACTAGAAAGGTAATTCAGTTTTGGCCAAGGGAACAACTCTGCCATTAGTATTTTTAACACCGTAAGCAGAAAAGATCAACTTGAACTATTTTTTACAAAACATGGGACATTTATGAAATTTTGAGAAAAAAAGGACCAAGTTGAACACATCTAATAAATTGAGAGACTAAAATAGATATTAAACCTTTATTTTAATATCTGATCTTTCATATTCACAAGTTATTTGTTTTTTTTACTTCAAACGGATTATTAATTATTATTGATGGTTTAGAATCTGCCAATAAATTTGATTGTTTGACGAAATTATTTATGAATTACACTGATTCGTTTATTTATGGATATATTCATAAGTAATGTAACGATGATATAATTATCGACAGATATATATTATCACATCATATAATTTATAATATTCTTTTATGTATATTAAATATTGATCTACCTTTTTTTTTAATTTGCATATGTTATCATTCAATATTAAATTCACTCGCTGAGCTCACCCATGCTGAGAGCATTATTATATATTTTTTTCAGAAATGAAATTAACTTACAAATACCCGTGTTTCTATATATATATATATATCTGAAAAAATCAACTACCTCAGAAGAGGAGTGAAAGGGAGAAAGGAGAAAGGAGAATGGAAGTAACACAAGTACTGCACATGAATGGAGGCACCGGAGAAACAAGTTACGCAAGCAACTCCTTGGTTCAGGTATAAACTTATAATAGCAAGTAAAATAATCTATCTCTTTTTTTTCTCCGATGCATTGGTGATTGTATTTCACATATACCAAGACAACTTAGCAAAGATCAGAAATTCTTACATGATCTGAATGAATTCATAACGAGTGCAGCAGAAGGCAATTTGTTTGACAAGAGTTATGAGAGAGGAAGCGATGAGCAGGCTCTACCGCAGCATGCGGCCGAAACGCTTAGCAATTGCGGACTTGGGTTGTTCTTCTGGACCGAACACTTTGCTTGTGATGTCTGAAGCCATAAAAGTGGTGGAGAAGCTTTGTAGAGAACTGAAGCATGAGTCTCCTGAATACCAGATCTACCTGAACGATCTCCCTGGGAACGATTTCAACAACATTTTCAAGTCCCTTGAGAGCTTCAAAGAGAGATTGAGGAATGAAATAGAAGATGAGCATGGGATGGGTTCATGCTTTTTCAATGGGGTTCCCGGCTCTTTTTACGGCAGAATCTTTCCCAACAAAACTCTCCATTTTGTCCATTCCTCCTACAGCCTTATGTGGCTATCCAAGGTATTTCAATAATAAAATTATATCAGCTTTCAAAATCGATTTAAAATAAAGAAAATATATTTAAGAAGTTAAAAAAAAATAGAAAAATAATACTTTCATACCTAATACACCCATTTAACAATACTTTTAATAGTATAACAATATATTTTTTAAGATATAAAATAAAATAAATATAATTAAAATATTATTATTTTGAGTTGTTGAATAATTTTTTTTATTTCATACATGTCAAATTATAAACATTAAAAAATATTATTTAGATAAATACTATAAATAATATAATAATATGCCATGTGAAAAACTGATTGGAAACCTAAAATAAATTCCTTAAAATATTATATATATATAAAGAAGTAATCTCCGAAGTTCTTTTTTTTTTTTATTTTTTTGAAGACTTGATGAGTCAATATATATATTTTCATATAGCCATATTTGGTGTCAGACTATTTCTTAAATAAAATTATAATATCTTTTAAAAGAACGAGTGAAAATAAAAAAAACTTTAAAAAAATCACGAGTCACATAAACTCAATAATAAAATTAATTAAATAGTTTAATGAATCAGTTTATCATCTTGCAAAAAGAGTAGTGTTAAACTTAATCTGATCTCATCAGAAGTATAAGAATAGATTGCATAGTTCAATAATCTCAATAACTATGTTTTTGTGAAGTCGACACAGAAAAGTGTATTGCAAAAACCAAATTTTCTTATATTTTTTTTAATGGTATCACTTAAACACAAACTTTTACATTATAAATACTGAAATATATTTTCCATAATTGATAAATATATCTTAATATTCTTTTTGTAATTTTTTCTTAAATATTTATCTAAATTCTCCATTTCACTATTTAAAACGTTATTTGAAGTTCTTTCAAGATGATTTTTTTTTTGTTTACGGCACCCACCGCGATGATCAATTTTTTTGGGGTTTTTGACTAAGAACTATACAATAATACAAACACCAGCATGCCGATCTTGCCTTTTTCTGATTCAAAGATATGGGTGACTTACAAATGATTTTCTCCTCAGACATTGTTTCAAGTTAAGATTTGTTGATAGCGGTAAACAACCTCTTCGACTATAGCTTCCCAAAAGTTGCTATACTAGCAAGGCTCTTGCGACGGGCCCTCATTTCCACCTGCGACGTTGTATCCTCCATTCTGAATGATTCAGACAAATTACCATATTCGGAATCATCGTAGGCATTCCAAGGTACTACAGATACTTCCATAGCAGTAATGCTGAACGAACCTTCCTTTTCAACCTCAAGTTCTACTTCAGTTGGAGAAGGTGTGTATTGAGGGATGTTGAAACCCTCCATTTGCTCCCGTTTATGATTCCTGTAGATTGAGATAGATTGTAAAAATTAAACTAAGATGATTATTAATGAATATTTAAGAAAAAAAAAAGCATTATTTTATATGTACCCTTGGAGACCATGGTGATTAAGAGCCCTAGCCAAAAGCTCCCATATATAGCAACACTCTTTGCTAGAAGGGTCATGGCTTCTTCTTCCCAAAATTGTGAGAACCATACGACCCCCTTCCACCATTTCTTCCCCACGACATTTGAGAAACAACCACAGATCCTTCTGATACTGTTCGTAATAAGCCTTAAGGACGTTTGAGGGACTGGTGCTCGACATATAAATGTTGCCCTTATTGTTCTCTACACCTTCAGGAACCTAATTAATTATCATCACCAAACAATCATTTATTCTCATCTTCGATTTCTAATATTCTCTCACAAGATGGGGGTTTAATGAATATTATTAAATTTAATCTTCCAACAACTAAATATAGTACTACAAACCCCAGAAAAAAAAGGAATAAGGGAGATCAAGTTTATACTGTGTTACGACCGTGTTATGTAGTTTAATTAAGAATTTTGGCACGTGTGGCCTAAACCCCACTCATTTAAGTTTTCGAATAGATTTTAACTTTATTTTTACGTAATTTTTTGTAACTTAATTATCACAACAACATGTAATGGGGGGGGGGGGGTGAATGATATTATTTTGCTGAAAAATATGTGTATATTATGTGTAATTTAAATTATTAAACAAAAAAATTATCGATGAAATATAGTGTTTTTTTAAAAATGTTTATAATTTTGTTGAAATATGTCAGAAATTGTCTATTAGCAGTATATTTTTGTAACGCACTAGATAAATATTTATTTTTGTATAAATAGCATTCATAATAAATAAATATTTTGATATATTTAATTTAATTTTACTTTTTTTACCAAATAAATATTTAAAATAATAGATTATATTTTGACATTTTCTATGATTAATTTGAACTGTGATATAATTTTTTTAAATAGTAATACATTCTTGTAAAAAATATTGAAACAGATAACCGATAAAAAAATAAATATACAAATAAAGATAAACATAGTGTTGAAATTGTCAACCAAAAAAGTTAGACTAGTTATATTAATCAAATTAAATTTGAATTATGGTTGTCCCAAAATTTTTTATTTTTGTGTTCCTAATAAAAAG